TATTTTTGTGGTATTCTGTAAAGAATTTGCTCTTGCAGAAAACATGCTCCTGCTTTGTGTTCATTTGATTTACTGGCAAGTCTGAACAGTTAAGAGGACATAACAGTTTAAAAAATTACTTTCATGATTTGAAAATGCTGTGCTTCCTTTTATTTCATTTTGCTTTAGTTTATAAAAAATTATTTTAGTCATGTTGTGAAACCTGTTTAGCAGAAAAGTCCAATGCTTTCTTCAACATTAGAAAATTTACAGTGAAAAACAATGTTGCAAGGAGTTGAAAGAAAAGCATGCTATAGTACCAAATTAGAATAATTGCAATTTGCAAGTCCTTTTAACCTGCTGGGGACCCTTGCAGAGGTTCATCAGTGTAATGGAGAGGAGGATCCAAGACATAATGGATAACATGCACTGCTTAAGTTCAGGCCTGAAGGAGCTGTGAAGCCGTCACAGGTGTAAGCCCCTCACACGCTGGGTGAGGTAGGAATGAAGTCAGATTAGTAGAATCCTCCTGCGTGGGTGGTAGGGTATTATTGTATACAAATATCCGAGTTACCTTCTTTATGCATAGGATTATCATAAAATGAAACAAGAATTATAGAATTGAGCTTCAGATTAAAAAAATGGGTCAAGTCAATGCAATTAATATCCTGTCGAATTTTTGATCCAGATTTACAAGTACTTCACCAGATTGCTAATAAGCCTTCATCTCTTCACATAAATATTTGAGCAGTATAAAAAATATATCAGACTTAAACACAATAGGTTCAAATGCTGAGATGTCATAAACCAGACAGAAGGGAAACTTCCTAGGCACATCTGGAAGGTATACGGAAAAACCAACGAACCAACAAACAAAAACCAAAACCGCTACAAAAATTGTTAAATAAGATATCAGAAAACTAGAGTATACATACATACATACATATATATATATATATATATATATATATATATATATATGTGTGTGTGTGTGTATGTATATATCAGTTGGTTACACAAATTCAAACAACTGAAAGAATTGAGCTTATAGATATTTGAATACGTTTCCTGGTTTTGGACTTGTACACATCAAGGTCTTCAGGAGTACCAAATTAAAAATTGGCTTTTCCTAAAAAGAACCTCAAAATTATTGTGTCCACAGAGTAGTGTCTTTTCAAAGGTATTTTCTGCAATTGGGGATTCCTTGAGGAGTATCACAAAATTGGACATACATTAGGTGTGTTTGTACCAGTACCTTAGGGACTACACTATGTATAAGATCATGAGGCAACCAGTTTTTCTAACCACCCTTTTGACATAAAATCAGAGAAAGATTTACTGTGGATCCACACCATATGGATCTCTAGGCTAGTGTATTGGTTTCAATGGTTATTATAGTTTCTATAAGACCCATCAAATTCTATAATACTGTAAATCCTAATCTATGATCTTGGCTTATTTTCTCTTACCTTTTAAGTCAAATATGGGAATAAAGACTTCAAGAGAAATGTTGGTTTAAAAAGTGATAATGACACCAGTAAGTATTCTGCTTCACTCTATCACCAATTATAAAAGAAATCTAATACATTTTCGTAATGTTAATGGAGAAGTAAAGATGAACATCATTTTCTAATAAGGAGTGAGTTCAATTACTAATCAAGTCATCTGTAAAAATATAATATACTATCACTTACAAGTGTGTGGTTCATTTTAACTAAGATTTCATTTTTAAATTTTGACACAAGACAGGGTAAGCTTGTTGTGGTTAAATTTTCATAAATTGGCAACTTTTGGCTCAGGTGCCAATGAGAGGACAAGAATAAATGTCTCAAGCCTTGATTGTTAGGGTCTAATCATAAGCATCGTGGTGCAAAATTCATGGATTATTCATGTGTAATTACAGATAGGTACTGTGCTCCTTTAAATCATCCCGATGGCCCATTATGGTCCATAACAACTGAAATAGCAATTGTCATAGTAAGGTTTGGGCTCTGCCATAGAGTGTGGGCTCTAATCAATAATGATGAATGGTAAAATTTTACATCAAGCAGTCCAAAGTCTGGTTGGCCCCCTCCATAAATCTGTACAAACACCAAGCAAAGCAGCTGCAGGGCCTGGAGATTTAAAAGCCAGCATCCCCTTACCCCCCACAAGCAGGTACCTCGGAAAGTGAAGCAGAAGAGGAGGGGAAAGAAAAGGAAATGCACAATATATCAGCTCTAATGATTCATGTGCTGCTAAGAAGAATTTCCTTCCTATTTAAATGGGAATGAACCCTAGGTTGTTTTCAAGGTCAATTTCAGGTGAAAGGGGGGTCATCTAGAGGTCACTTCAGCTACCATGCAGGTCAATAACGCCTCTTCACTTCCATAGCAGACAAGCTCCTCACACACAATCAATCCACCAACGCTGCTGCTGCACCAAGTGTAATGAACAGTGAATAAATGTAGCCTATCATCACAAAACATGCTTTTTAAGTACCTTTCCTTTTCATGTAAAACCTCGCGCTGTCAAATTCTACATTCAGTCATCCAGCAGTGAGTAGCAAAAGTGAGAAATCAGACTCTCATTGGGGTTGGTAAAAGGTCACAGCTGACAGACACGGAGGTTAAACTGCCGAGTTAAAATACTGTTCATTACCCACTGCAGCTTCGTGCTAACTACACTTCTTTGTGTTATAGTCAAGCAGTACATCAAGATGCCCCTCCTCCTAATTTATTAGCAATTGTTGAATTGTATGAGGCGGGAGCTAAGAGAGAAATTGATGTCTTATATATATGCATATGTGTATTCTCTTGCTCTTTGAATATTTTTATTTCCTTATCTATTTCCATATCAGTACCCTATGCGACATCCTGTCTGCTTGAGATGCACCATAATTGTTAGAGAAACATAAATTCTAAGATCAGAATAGCCTGAACTATCTGAATTCCAAAGCCCAGGGTTGGTTGTTTGGAGACATTTATATTTTGTATGTTCATATTTTTTTTTCTTAAATGAATTGTGGGTGGAGTATTTGAAATTTGTTTCACTCAAAGAAATTTAATTAAATATTTGAGAGCCAATAATTTACTCCTCAAATGCAAACTCTTTCTACAAATATAATTGATTTTAACGTGTAAGATGATCTTTCACTGACAAGGTTTTACCTGTGGCAAGTATTAGTCCAGAATATAGCCCTTTGTTAACAGACATGGCAACTTACTTTGTGTTTTGCATTAATTTGGTTATAGTTGGAGGAACATTTACTGGCAATCAGTAATCACTGGAGATTAAGGAGAAACAGTACTTTTTAAAAAAATGAGTTGACTAAGCAGTTTGGTGTGAAATCTGAATGGATTAGAACAACTTTCCTAAAATGAAATTTCATTCTTGATTAATTAGTGCGTAGGTGGAATTCCCTTTATTGAAATGAAGAGGCACAGTGTGGAAGACACTGGGAAGAAAACAGGTCTTATTGCACCAAATTCAAAATCACAAATCACAGATAAATAAAGGTTTATTTATATGCTCTCTACAACAATAATTTGACTCAACAAAATTACCATTATATATTTACATCTTTTAAAAATGCATTCTGAAATCCCTCCTAGAGAAACACACTCCTCGCTTCTTCCTGCATGCCTTCTATCTCAGTGGGACTGGAAATAAAATGTTATGACTTAAATCACAAGAGGCTAACATCATTTTTAGCAACAAGGGCTGCATAATTTCAAGACTATGAGTGAGTGGCTGACTTTAACTAAAATGTTTCAGTTCTGTGCATACATAGGTACATAAATAATTCAGAATTAATCCCTGCAGAGGGGACAATGGGAATCGTAAATTATCCATGTGCCGTCCTCAACATTAGAGGCAATGAACCTATAGTAACAAACTATGAGTGTTACTCATTACATACATCTCACAGACACCTTAACCTTTTGAATATTAATTTCCCTCTGCATCTTGTAGCTAGGCAATATCATCATTTTTTTTATATTTTTCTTCATACTCTTGCCTTCATTTCCTTCCCGCTTTTATGAAGCCTCCCAAACCGGAGTTAAACGACAGCTACTGAGTAATGTATTGGAATACATTGATTTATTGCAGAGAGATTTTTTTTTTTAAGGTGCACTTTTTTTCCAGAAACCCCTTACTATTACTTGTATCCTGGTATAGAGTGTAAAATGAGGTGCAGCAGACAGATGGTCTTTATGAAGATAAACAGGATAGCAAGTCTGACTCCATTGCGGTTGACAGTATCCTTTGAGTTTCATAAACATACATCACACTTTGTTTAAAGCAAAGAACACATTGCAGAAAGATCATAGTTTTCATCCAAAGAATGAAAATCAATATAAGCTAAAAAGGAATAAAAATATCTCCTAATTATAAATTTTATTATGTCTTAATTATTAAATTGGGAAGCTATTTCTTTAAAGAGCATAACATAATAAAACAATGGGTATTAAAATTTTGTCTTTAAATTACTTTCTAAGCTAAAAAGCAGTTTAATAAGTTCCATGACTTTTTTTGAATAATATCATAGACAGAAAAAAAATAGAACTATTTTTTATCATAATAAATTATACTTAGTTTCTATCTGCTAGATAGAAGAAATTGGAATAATTTCCAGAATCTTTTTTTAGCGAGGCCCATCTTTCTCTCCAGAGACACACTTGACAGAACAGCATACAAACCCTAGGGCAGGGTTTAGCCAGACCTCACACCACAGCAGCAAGGCCCAAATGCACGGCAGTGAACTCGGCCAGTGCAGGCTCTCTGGCGGGCCTTTCCCCACCACCGCTGCATGGCTTACTCCTTGTTCTCTTTCAGGCCTGCCTTTCAAACCCTTTCCCTTCCACCCATTGCCAAATCACAACCAAGCAACAGGGATGGTTCTCTCTCTCTCTCTCTCTCTCTCTCTCTCTCTCTCTCTCTCTCTCTTCTTAAGGCTGGAGAGGACCACGGTTTGTATTTGCGCGTGAGGGACGTGTTTGTTACATGCTGGGTGCGGACAGAGAGTGCAGAGTACTCACTGCTCTGTCTTGAATGCTGCAGAAACAGCTGGAGTTTAACAAATCACTTTGAAAACTGTAACGTGGTTGAAGACTTGAACAAGTCGACGATCAATCCCTGTTGGATCTTAGTAAGGTGGGTCTCTTCTGAAACGCTGCTGTAATTTGGTTTCCACTGCACAACTGGCCTTTGACAGGTGATCAGGCCATAAAGGGGCACAAAGAACTAGGGGCCAGAGAGGAGGACGTCACAATCAGGCCAGACACTTCGTGTTCTCTTTCTCCTTTTCCACCTTGTGATGGTGAAAGGATCCACCCAGTTGGATCATCCAATCATGGACTTCTAGCTTCCAGAGCAGTAACACAGAACCATCTGTTCTTCATAACACACTATCTCAAGTTTTCTGTTACAGAAACTGAAACTGTAGTCTCAATATGGCTAACAATTTGGACTAAGTAGGGCATGTATCCAAAACAATCCTGCCTTCCCTCTCTAACTGTGTTCCACCCTCTACTGTTTGCCATGTCCTCCCATTGTTTTCTGTGGACATCAGATGTTTTCAATCTTGTTTTCTGTCATTGCTTTTATTAACATTAAGTCTTGTTCTCAACAAAAAATTTGATATTAATCATTTCAGTTTGCTCTAAAAAATGTACTTGCTTTTCAAGCCTCACCTCATATCACACAGTTAAAGATTTTCTGTCTATTAACAAAATGTCTAAGGTACACAAGTAAGTATGAGTAATACCTTTAAAAACCATTTTCATTTTATGCCATCAAACCAGCCAGTTCTTTGCAATGATTGAAGGTCAGAGTTCAATTCTTTTGTCTGTTTGTTTTTGTTTCATTTTGTTTTTTGAGACAGGGTCTCACTATGTAGCTCTGGCTGTCCTGGAAATTACTATGTAGGCCAGAGTGGCCTTGAACTCATAGAGATCCATCTGATTCTGCCTCCCAAGTGCTAAGATTAAAGGCGTGTGCTACCACTCCAAGCATAAGAGTTCAATTCTTATTTGAGAAGTTATATTGTTGTTTTCAAGAAAATCAAAGAAGTTTGACATTTTACCCTAGAATAGTCCTCTGATTTTGTGAAACTGTGTAGTATTTTTTATTCATTTTTGTGTGTGTGGGGGGGGAAACAGTAAAAATTATTATTAAGAAAATAAATTCATTAAAAATAACACATTGAGGTCTATTCTAGGGCTTGGTCAGTAAGTGCCTGCTCTGTAAGCACAAGGAACTTAGTTCACGTTCCCAGCTACCAGGTAAAAAACAATGTGGTGGTACTTATCTCTAAGCCCAGTGATTGGGTCTGGGCCTAGCAGAGACAGTTAAATCCTGAGGCTCATGACCAAGCCAGCCTAGATGAATGGATGAACTTTAGGTTCAGTTTAAAACCTTTTTCAAATAATGGTATAGAGAGTGATTGACGACAACGCCTGACATTGACCTCTATTGTCTACAAGGACCAACATAAGTACACATGAATTTGTATCTATCTGTGCACACACTTGTGTGAACATTCAACACACACACACACACACACACACACACACACACACGTACATACACATTCATATATATATTGATCTATAATCCATTTCAATGACCAAACCATAATGTCTAATTAAACTCTTATTCCTATAATTTTATGGGATTTTGAAAACAAAGACACAAGGTAACTACATTATAGCTTTTATATAACAAGTTGTGAGCATGTTATATATATATCTTCAGGATTGTCCCCATTCATAACCCAAACCTTTGTCTATCCAAGCTATCAGAAGTGATCATTTAGTAATAAATACCAGTGTTATAGCAAGAATTAATCTTAGTAACACAGTTATATAAAAACATAATATTTAATTTTATATAATTTGATTTATATAATTCAAGTAGTTGAAGCCCTCATATGGGCAATAATGACAGTCACTGAGGTTTGTCCTCTATGGTCCCTTTCTCATATACCTGTTCAGACCTTTTGCAAGAGGCAAGACTTTAATGTGTGAGCTGTCTTACCTCTCCTAAGCTAGCATCTGCAGTTACATCTATCTACATAACCAGACTTGGAACAAGGAAGAACCTGGTTATTTCCTGTCCTTTCAAGTTGTTTAGCCTCATGTAATATTTGCCTTTGTCTCTTATGTGTTTTGTCGGTTAGATGCAGAAGACACTGAAAATGTTTCATTCTCCCGAGGCTGTGGGAAGAGTCCGGCATTCCCATGGGAACTTTGAGTTTGTGCCATGACCATCTGAGGAAATGCTTCCCTGAGACGTTTTTACTCTCTGTCCCTGGATTCTCTATAGTGCGCGAGAAGGTGACACTGGAGTGACATATCTTTTCCACAAACTATATTAAATGTGAGCAGAAAATAACAATTTTCTTTGTTGTTTGATATTTCCCCAATGTTCATTTTGACACACTTCTGCTACTTACTGTAAATTCTGTATAAAATAAATATTCTCAGATAATCAGCTGTAGTAAAATAAAATGAGCAAAGATATAGATATAGGTGTTGTGTTTCCATATTTAATTCTGTTCCTTTTAAAGTTAGACTGTTAAATTAAAAATGAAATGAGAGAAAACAGTGGCTGTAAATTTGTTTTTTAGTGGAATTCCATGAGCAAAAAAGTTGTAAAATAGTTAAAACATTTTCATAGTGAAGGCACACTGAGCATTTGCTACTCAGTCAGCCTAACCTTGACTTGAACCTGTTTGTAAAAAAGTGAAATGTTTCTTTTCAATACTAATATGTTTTGTTACCAGATTATTAAAGTTTATGGACAATTTGATCAATTCTATTTCAATGAATTGAATAATCAAGACAATTTCAAATGTGTAATGGAGACCAGGCAGCCAATGTTCTCCTAAGCTATGGTTCTAGCCATTTTCGGTGACTTGAACATAGTTTATGCTAAATAAATATTGTTGAGCGGTTAATGAAAACTACTCCTTCTTATACACATTGCTGTCAACCAACTACATGTTCTTCAAGGAAGTTACATTCATGTCTAAGGATGTACCACTACTTTCAACAGTATAAAAATTGTAATTTGACCATTTGGCAGCTAATTAACAAACCTGCTATAAATAATTTCCCACAAAGTTATGGGCATAGCTAGCTCTTGGTGTGTAATTAAGATGGAGTGGGGTCGCGAAGGTGAAAATGTATACCATCGAAGAAAAACTGTGAACATATTGCTTTGTCTAATTATGCAGCTGATAGGAACTTCCATCAACTACTTGAGCTTACATCTTCCTATCATAAAATGAAGAGTCTGATTGGGTTTTATAGGAAGTTCATATAGGAACAAACAGTATCATTGCAAGCACCAGCTGAGTTTATGGGGCCCTGAGCATCAATGAAGACCACAAGAGTTGAAGAACCCTTTTCTTTACTTCTAATGCTATAATTTAATTCTACTTATGCAAATTATATATCAATGACTATGCAAATCAAAAATCAATATTGTCTTCCTCAATGTAAATCATGAATTCTTCATTCACTGTAAATAATTATATTCTGTATATTTGAATATTGTACCTAGTAATAATGTTATACCACAACTTCTATATAACATTAATAAAGTACATAAAATTAAATGTTTTTAAAAAATTAGGCAATTTACCTTTTAAATATTGATATTTGTAATATTAAAATGACTAGGCTATTTCTCAAAATGGACTCATACTTAACACCCAGTTTTTGCCTTTCCCTATTCTTGCCCTTGCAATCTTGTTATCTACCATGATCAAACAGTGTGCCCAAGGCTATTGTTTCTCTGAGCCAGTATTTCAGGGAATGACCTTCTAATGCTACCAGACATATTATTGCTGCCAACTCATGGAAATAGTACACAGAGAAAGGACTAAGACTGTTATATAGACTAGGAAAAGTTATTAAAAAATAGAAATGTGTAGGAGTCCTAGAAGTTTAACTCTTTTATACTTTATATAGAGGTACAAACACAAATTCATACATATTATAGCCTAATTACAACCAAAAATGTAAAATTTCATGGGCTAAGTATCGTATTGTGCATATGGTAATTAATTAGTAATTATGTAACTCCTGTTTAAAAGGGCCCTGTATAATTTGTGTATATATCAAGGTATTCAAAATGCTATCACTTTCTAAAAATCAACATCAATGATTGTTTATCAATATTGGCATCATAAAAAAAATCTAATTTATTTTTCCTAGTAACTGGTTTGTTAAAACACTACAAAACTTTTAAAATTCTTATTTCCTTTTGTTTTCTCTCTCCCTCTCTCCTCTATCCCTCTCTCCTCTTTCTTTTCTCCCTCCCCCCTCTCTCTCCATGAACAGGAGATTAGGTACTATCTTTAAAGTTTTTGAGTCAACTGGAAAAAGTCTAGTAAAGAGAAGTCATTTTTCATAATCATCATTATTTCAAAACCTTTAAAAAGTAGCTCAGACAAAAGACTTTCAAATATTCTTGCAAGTTGTCATTCATTAGACAGAGCAATGAATGCCATTGTAGTGATTTAAACATGAGGACCTATGCTTAATAAAGATGTTAAGAAAAAATGCGTTAGAACAAATTCTTCAGTTTAAATTAAGTGAGTGGTTTTATTGTCCCAATTTTTGAATCAGATTATTGCATTCTCTTGCAGTGAAAACTTTGCCTTATTAAGTAGTCAGAGCCTTAGTATTTGGAATGCTGAAAATATTCAATTAATATTAACTGATTTGATAATAAGTAAATTGGTGAAGGAAAGCTTTAAAAACCTCTATTGGAATAGTCCCCAACTTATCAAATCATAAGTATTTTAAGACTTGGTTCAAACATAGTAATTTTATTGTATAATGAAATGTAAGTATAAAAACTGGTGGAGTTATAATATCACTAATTTAAAATCTTCATATTGTCCTTGCTCAGAAGGAAATCTTTGTGTTAGAGACAGATCTAATTCAAGTTGGTTACAATTCATGGTACTAGAATGATGCAATGACTCTAAGAGGTTTTCATTGACTAGTTGAATACCCTTGTTTGTTTGTTTTTCTGAAGCATTTAGGTTAGAAATAAACAAAGTAGAATTTTATTCAAAGAAACTCTATGCCAATGGGAAGCAATTATTTAGATTTCCTAGAGAAAGAAGGTGAAGAAAATATAATGTTGAAATATTTCTT